TAAGGTCAGACCCTCGGCTTCCCCCACCCCCGCCCGCCCCCGCCGCCCCCACAAAGACTCTCCAATATCAGGGGGCCCCTTGCACGACAGAATAAAGCAATAAGCAGTCAGTGCTGGCCCCAGGCTGCAGGCTCCGTTTTGCCCCAGGCTCTGGGGCTCGGCCTCCAGCCATCCTCAGAATGTCTCAGAGGATGTCGGGAGTGCAGGGGGGCGGGTCAGGGTACTGCTGGGGCAGGGGCAGCCTTCTGACTGCACCACGGAAATAATAAAGGTCCTCAAACTCAGTTGCCCAAGGGGCTCAAGCAGATACGAATATTTGAGTCCAAGGGCACCTGGGTGGTTCAGTCGGTTGAGTGTCCGGCTTCGACTCAGGGCATGATCTCAGGGTTCGTGAGTTCAAGCCCCGAGTCGGTCTCTGCCCTCAGCACCGAGCTCACTTCAGATCCTCTGTCCCCCTCTCTCTCGACCCCTCCCCAGCTTGTACTCTCTCAACAACAACAGTAACAACAACAACAAACAAACATTCGAGTCCAGCTGGGAGAGTGACAGCTGGACAGATGACTTCACACCAAAAGCCAAGTGAAAGACGACGGGAAAACACGTGCTGGCCAAACACCAGATGGCCGTGGGCGGGTGGGGCCCGGGTCTCAGGGCTGAGAGACCTACGTGTTTCTCCTCTGCAGCAGTGGGGCTGGCCTCCGCTCAGGGGGGACAGATGCTCGGGGCTCACGGGGGACACTGTTGGAAGAGCTCCCCAACAGAGCTGCTGATGCTGTCTCTGTGCTCTGAGGGCCAAATGTACCTCCCAGTCCTCCTGCCCAGTCACGTGGAGGGGGAGGGGACACTTCCGCCGTCACAGGCGTGCCCCAGGGCCTGCGGCACTCGCATACTTAGGCATGAGGGTGGCGCGGGGCTACAACGACCTGCCCGGCCGGCCTGTCTCCTCTCTCTCTAGCCGGGTGGGTGAAGGCCACCCCCAGGTCCCCCGGTGACCAGCAGGACCAGTGGGAGGGTCTGAGGTCTGCAAAACTGAGTCCGCTGAAGAGCTGACAGGCAGATCTGGGGCCAGAGGTCGCGGTCCGGTGCCCGGTGCTCTCAAGGCGGAGCGGACACAGGGAATGAGGCCAGAGGATGGGGCTGGGAGGACAGAGGGGGCTGCTGCACGGGCCCTCCAGAGTCCCATGTGGGCGGCCTCTTGTCGCAACCACCCCAAGCGCACCGAGAAAGAACTTGCCCCGAAGAGTGCCCGTCAGAGTGTTAGTTAGCTAGACGTGAGCCTCCCTGACGGCCCTCGGGCATTTTGGTTCGTTGGAGATTCACTCGCCTGGAACAAAGACACGTCACGGAGACCAAGGACACAAAGTCGCCCTGCCCACCCCGGGGCGGGGAGTCCCCGAAAACCCACCAGGCCCGGCAGGATGGGAGCCAGCCACATGTGCCTGCCATCGCAGGTGTCGTTCACTTGGTCGATGAGCTTGTCGGGCGTCCGGACGTCCCCGCACACGCCCTCCAGGGAGTTCACGCTGTCGGGGAAGGCGGCGATATCTGGGGAGGCTCTAAGCTGCCATAACCCAAAGCAGTGTGCTGGGAGCTGCGTGCCACCCTGGCGGCCGCTGGCCTCGTCACGCTGATGGCGTGGCCCAGGGGACGCTGGGGCTGGCGGGCAGAATGGCCGTCCGCTGCTCTGGGCAGCCGGAAGAGCGACAGCCAAATCAGACATGCCAGGGAAAATGAGAACAGAGGCCAACAGGGGTGGGTGTGTGGGGAGGAGGTGACCAGTTTCAAGGAAAGGGGAGGAGCCGTGCAGACAGATGGCGGGGAAAGAGCAGTCTCACCGGACTGCTGGCGGCAGGAACAGAATTTGTGGCTGACGCTTTGGAGAGTGGAGGACAAACTGCTAAGGTGTTCCTTTCCAAGGGGACACGGCCTCGGCATGTGAGGACCAGCCTGAGACTGGACGCACCGGGTGGGGGAGCCGGGCCCAGCTATGGCCCCTCAAATACCGGACGTTAGCGCGGATCTGGACAAACCAGGTCCGGTGCTGGCTCTGCATTCTGACCTGGGGTCTTGGGAAAGTCACAGAGCACCTTGGGGCCTGTTTCCTCATCTGTAAAATGGGTATAAAAACCTCCACGTCCGGGGCGCCTGGGTGGTCAGTCGGTTAAGCGGCCGACTTCGGCTCAGGTCGTGATCTCACGGTTCGTGGGTTCGAGCCCAGCGTCGGGCCCTGTGCCGACGGCTCAGAGCCTGGAGCCTGCTTTGGATTCTGTCTCCTTCTCTCTCTGACCCTGCCCCACTTGCACTCTCTCGCTCTCTCTCTCAAAAATAAGTCAACGTTAAAAAAAAATTAAAAACCTCCACATCCCAGAATTGATGTGAGGCTCTCAGAGGACACTGGATGTGAGCGTGCCCGGTAAAATCAACACAGCCTTACATATCCAAGGACTCACTAACAACAATCAAAACCACCAACAATCATTTGTCAGGTGGGGAGGATGGTGTCACCGCGGGAAGGGCAGAAAAGTTGGATCAGAAAAGGATCCAGCTGGAACCCAGGGAATCCCACATAGGTGCAAGGCAGGCTTTGGGGTCGGAGCTGCTCTGGCCGGTCCCTGTGGTGGGCCAGGGATCACAGGGCAAAGGCCCAGAGGGGTCAGGCAGGTGATGTCAAAGACACATGACAGCTCAGTGGTCAGAGCATGGTTTCTGGAGCCGGACTCCCAGGTCCTCACTCCTATGCTGTGTGACCTTGGGCAAGTTACTTAACCTCTCTGTGTCTCAGGTCTTCATTGGTAAAATGGGGCTAACAGCACTCACTTCACGAGACCGTTGTGAGGGCAAATCAGGTACCACGGGACAAGCCCTCACCGAATGAGCCCTCAGTAAACATTAGCAATTTGTCTGGGGGACCTGGCAGGAAACAATAAGGACATGCTTGGGGGAAAGGGGATACCGAGGTCCAGCCATCATCGTGGTGCATGACTGTGGCCTCAAACATTGCTAATTTTTTCAAGAGCTGCTGAAGAGTGAGGTCTTCCTGTGAAACGCCCTGATCTTTCCAGAACACTAGCAACGAATCTAAAATATTTAAAAACTCAGTGGGCTAATAGTTTGCAGGTTCTGGTGCGGGCGTTCCCTGAACAAAGAGGACCATGGTCAATGAATTCACTGGGCTGAACACAGGCCCACAGGCTGCTCCCTGCAGGCCTTGCCAGAGCCTTTGGGACTCCAAAGTACCTGTGGATCTCCAGGAGGGGGTGCAGTTGGTACCGTCGCCCGAATCCCCGGGCCACAGGGCTCTCTGTTTTGTGGGACTCCTGTTACCTTGGGACTCCCAAGAGTCAGCCTCTGACCGTCAGCAGAGTCCCCTGGCATTTTCAGTCCCAGGGTCTGGTTCTTGCAGGGACGTCTCCTCTCCTGCCCCGGACCCTCCCACGTTCCCTTTGGTCACGGTGGGGTCCCCCTTCTGCCTAGAAAGGATACTGTTTTCCGACAGAGGGATTTTTTCTCCCCGCTCATCATACAGCTCCAGGCCTGTAAGACCGATGTAATAGGGGTCACCCCAGCTGGTCAGGAGCTGGAACTGAAAAATGACTGTGGCACATTATTAAGGAAAAATAGGCTTAATTTTCTGAGAACAAAGCAAGACAATGGCAAAGATCATATTGGGATAGCTTATGCAGGTGAAGGGGGGGGGAAATCATTTTTTTCTTGCACGGAGACTGAAACCTATCCAAATATGTGTGGCATTAAATTCTCTTTAATGGAAGCCGCGTATGCATGTGTTTCAAGAATTAAAAACTTCCCTCCACGTCCCAGGAGACAGGAAGACAGGAGGGAGGGAGCTGGCAGGATGGAGGACCATTTGCACCAGAAACCCATCGTGTGGTCGTGCCGAACAAAGTGACCGGGAGTCAAACTGTCTCGTGCCTCAGTTTCCCTGGTCGTAAAATGACAAAGAACGAAGCACCTGTTCTCTCCTCCATCTACTTCAAGTGTGCAGGGGGTGGGGGTGGGGGGGATACTTGAGCACCAGGAGGGATGGGCCGTGGCAGGGTGACCGACCCGCCGTTGCTGACTGAGTCGCACAATGGGGGCACCAAGCCTGTCCTCAGCCCTGTCCCCAGCCTGCTCCCAGCATTCCAGGGGCGGACAGGGCAGGAAATCAGAGTGGCGGCTTCCGGGCAATATCCTAGCCACAGGCAGACCTTCCAGAAGAACGGACTGGTGAGAGAGCCAGGCTGCTCACATTCACTAACCTGTCTCACTCCTTCCCAGCTATGTGGCCTCGGGCAAGCTACTTAGCCTCTCTGGGCCTCAGTTTTCTCATCTGTGAAATGGGGGGTGTTAGCAGTTCCACCGCCCAGGGCTGGGGTGAGGCCTGAGTTAACACAGGCCACCCAGTGTGAACAGGGCCAGGCCGAGGAAAGGGTCCGGCGACTTTGAGCTATCTTTACTTCTATCTTTACTTCCTCCCTGCCTGGGTCCGAGGACAGCCTCCAGTTCAGGCCCTGCGGAAAGTTCCAGCTTCTCTGGCCCCTCCCCGCTGGAGTCCTGGGTGCTGCTTCCTGAAACATCAGCCGGCCAGGGCGCGGCATCTGGAACTCGGGTGGCTGCCCCCGCCCCAGCAGCACCCAGTGAGCCTGCGGACCCACCAACCCTCCCACGGTCCCCCGGGTTTCCCTGCGTGGGGCTCCAGCTCCTGGGCTGCGGCCTGCCGGGAACCCCAACGTTGCCAGAGGGGCCGAGCCCTCTCCTGGGGTTCCGGACAGGGCCCCTGAGGGCTTGGGACACGCAGACAGGTGGCGGGAGGATACAGCCGCAGGGCATCAGGGGTGCCTCGTAGTCCATGCTTGCCCGCTCCTGGCTTTGCGTGTTGAGCCTGAAAAAAACCCACAAAACAGCACCAGGAAGCAGGAGATTGCAACTACCCTGATCGCTGGCCGCTTACTCCCCAGGTGACAGACTTTGAAGACGCTGTGGCCGGAGAGGGTTCCCCGATGTAGTGTGTGCCCACGTGGAGTCCTGTCCTACTCCGGGAGACTCAGTCACCTCCCAGGCGACTGCATGGACACTTCCTTCCCCAGGACAGCCCCAGGAGGTGGGTACTCTTACAGCCCTGGGGTGCGGGTGAGGAAACTGGCACACGGAGAAGTGAAGTCACTCGCTCAGGGCCACACAGCTGGCAGGCGGCCGAAGTGGGATGTGACCTGAGGTTGGCCGGTTCCGGAGTCCACACTTAACCACCCAGCTCAGGGATGTACTCAGTAGGTGTCGGCCTGCCCTGATCCTCCTTCAAGCCCCGCCTCACTGCCTGTTCACGAACAAGGCGAGTCCACACTGTGCTGACAGCTGGGCCAGACCCAGGGTGGGGTGGAGTGCCCGGCTGGGACCGGCTACCCTAGGGGGTGGTCAGGGACCCGACGCCTGAGCCAAGAAGGAGGCAGCCGCACAGAGTCAGAACTGAACCCTGCAAGCAGAGGGGCAGCCAGAGCAAAGGTCCTGTGGCGGGAGAGCAACAAGGGGGCCGGGTTGTGGGGCGGGATGGGAGGCAGGCAGGGAGAGGAGGCCTGCGGAAGGTGGGGCATCCCTGAAGGCTTTGGCTTTGTGATCCTGAGCAAGTGGCTTCGATAGCAGGGGCCTCAGTTCCCACATCTGTAAAATGGGCATAATAATCCCCACCTCAAAGGGTGGGTGGAAGGATGAATACAAAGCATCAGAACAGAGCCGGCACTTGGAAGGGGCTGGGGCGTTTCTCCCGGTCCACAGCCAGTACCCTCCAGCCTTGCTGGTTTTCTTCAATTTCAAGGGCAATGTTATAATTAAGTGGCTGTTCCCAATGACCGGCCCAACAAGTGATCCCAGCCACAGCGGAGGGAAACTCATTTTGTTTTGTGAGCTTGGCCTCTGGCATTTGGACATCAGGGGGTTTAAATGAGTTAACTGAACGTGGCATTTACAAATTGTTACGGGCCTAATGCAGCTGAGACCGAGGCCAAGAAATACCAGCGAACCCACAAAATGTTAGGCTCTCATTTTGTCTTTGAATCTTTCTAAACTGGGAACTGAGAAACAAGCGAGAGAGAGAGAGAAGGCCCTTCCCCAAATTGGCCGGCGGGCATTTCTGGAACGGAGGCAGGCTGGAACCTCTTTTCCCAGCAGGAAGTGCAACGAAGCATTTAAAATCTCCAGCACTCCAGACTGTGAGAAACCCAAACATCCCTAGACAAGGTGGGTACATCCCACAGGCTTCCGGAGAGGCTCGGCTGAGCTTTAGAAAACCGCCAAGTTGAAAAGCAACGCGTTTGATCATCGTTTCAGAACCTTTAGGTATAAACTTCAGAGCGATGCGGGGAGCCGGCAGCCCTGAGGACAGGGAGGGGACACTCCCGGGCCTTCCCCCACTCACCTCTGGGCCGGCTGGGGCAGCTGTCGAGCCTGGAGGTGGTCCACAAAGAGAATTTCTTGAGCGAAATCAAAGTGGCAGTTGCCCGGCCCCTTCCGGATGAGGAAGCCCTCTGGAGGGGAGATGCCCAGGCCGTCCAGGGAGATGTGGACGATTTTGGCCTAGCAAACAAAAGAAAGCCGCGTGCTCGTGTGCCGTGTGTGTGACGGACGGTCTTCACGGAGCCCCCACGCCGGACAAACAGCCCAGCCTGGCCTCCCTCTGAGGCCAGAAGCACCGGGCCGGGCCACTTTCTGGTGCCACCCCCACTCCGTGCCAGGTGCTGTGCTGGGCACTGGGCAGACGGCAGGGGACGAGGGTGGCCCACGAGTTGGGGTGGCGCCTGACCCGGCCCGGGTCCCCACCCACCTCACCCGCTGCAGAGCAGCACGGTGGTCACGGGCACTCAGGTGCCCCGACATCGGCCGTTAGCACCTGTGCGAGTGACTTAACCTCCCTATGCCTCAACTGCCTCCTCTGTTAAGTGGGCTCGATAAAGAGTGAACTTGCGTAAAATACGCAGAATGCAGTGCCGGGGAAAAGCGATGTACTCGGTAGGTGTTGGCCTACCCTGATCCTTCTTCAAGCCCCGCCTCACAGACCACCACTTCTACGCTGTCCCCAGGACAGAGCGAGCCCCTTCCTGATCTTCCTTCTCATGGCCCTTAGCTTGTTTTTTTTTTTTTTATGTGATGTTTATTTATTATTTTGAGAGAGAGAGAGAGTGTGTGAGCAGGGAAGGGGCAGGGGTGGGGGTAGGGACAGAGGATCTGAAGCAGGCTCTGTGCTGACAGCAGCAAGCCTGATGTGGGGCTTGAACTCACGAACCAAGAGATCATGGCCTGAGCTGAAGTCGGACGCTTAACCTACTGAGCCCCCCAGGCGCCCCCTTAGCTCATCCTTTTAGGACGTGTACTCAGCATCCTGAGCGGCTTCTGGGTCTCCCTCCGCGGCAGAGACCCTGGCGAGGCCCCTATACCTGCTTCAGGGCCTGGTGCATAAGCGGGCGCTTACCAGCTTGCTGAATGGGGTGCATTTGGGCCAACGTGTCCCCCGTTCTAGGACGGATTTCACCAGCCAGGTGGCCAGGATCTACCAGTGAATCTCCAAGCCTGAAGGGCAGGGTCTGAGGTGGCTCGGGTCTGCTCCCCTGGGGCAGGGGGGTGCTGGGTGAGCAGAGAGGGGTAGTCGACCACACATTTTGGAATCAGGCCTGCTTGCGTCGTCCTGGTGAGGAACGTGGGCCCAACTGCAGACCAAACGGGTAGATTCTCACCTCCAGGGGACGCAGAGGGGCTGTGCGGAAAGAAAGGGGCCCTGCCCTGGGTCTCAGGGATAACTCATGTGCCCCGGGGGCCCTTCATCCCTTTGGCATTCAGGGAGCCCCCTCATGGCAGCCGGTCACAGGGCACGTAAGCAGGAAGAGTGTAGGGTAAGTGGCTTCAGGTATGGCTGGATGTGGGGACCCTAGACTGTGACTGCAACTCCCCACTTCGCCTTGCTCCCAGCTGATTCAGACCCTGGACCCGGACGTACTGTAACCCGCTGGTCACACGACTGGTCCAGGGACGTGGACCTAGACCAGAATGGCCGGCATGACTCCCGGGGTTCTGCCGGCTCGCCTCCAAAGAGGGGTTCCTTCTTCAGCTGGGCTAGGAGCTGGCAGGAGGCTGGCGACAGAGCAGAGCAGAGGCCCAGGAAGGCCCTGTCCCTCCTCCAGGGCCACCACCTCCACTAGGAGGTGTCCCTGACTTCCCCAGGCCTCTGTTTATTCCCTTGGATGGGACTTCTCCTATCACCTCGTCTTACAGCCAAGGAAATTAGGAGTTCAGAGAGGCTAAGCAATTCGCCTGAGGACACACTGCAGGGACCTTAAGCCCCAGCCCCAGCGTGCAAGGCCTGGTTCTAACCACGTGCCAGGGGCCCATAACCGGAGCGCCCAGAGGGCCTTGGGGGACACCGGCGGCCGAAGCATTTTCCTGGGGAGGGCATGGTTGCCATCACACTGCCCTCTGGGATCTACCCTTTCAGATTGTGCCCCTCTCTCCAGTCCATGGTGGCCACTTGTCACCGGCAATGAGGCTGGTGGCCACGGCCAGGCCTGGGAAGCAGGGGCTCTGGGCCCAGCATTTCCAGGTGGCAAATCCGGGTCATGGAGGCTCGACAGGACAGACTGATTCACTCGAGGGAACGTAAAGGCCCAGAGGCACGAGTTGAGCCAGAAGAATGTTTTTTTAACGCCTATATATCTGACTTTTTAAACCCGCTGAAGCTGAGAGCGTGCTCAGGGAGCCGCCAGCGTGGCCTGGGAGGATTTGTGAACCGCGCGCTGCTCCAGAAGGCGAGCGCCTGAGGGCTGCTGACTCCACCGTGGCGACCCCCCACGGTACTGCCCCAGGGGCCTGCGGAAGTAACTCCGTGGCAGGTGCATGGTGGGGTGCCACACGTGGGGCTCACGGGACCCGAGGCCGAGGCCTGGCGTGGTCAACCTTCGTGTGGCAGAGGATGATGGGTACTCTCCCAAGGCAGGTAGCATCCGCCTCCTCACTTTATAGATGGGGAAACTGAGGCCCAGGGAAAGCAGGCCACTTGCAAAGATCACACAGCTGGTTAGGGTCAGAGCTGGGTTTCAGACCGGGGACTTGTGACTTTCGGGCCCTGACTGCGTTGCTGTATTTTCGGTGGCCTTCTCACCATCAGCTCTGTGTTGCAGTGGGAGGGGACAAACGTGTCACAGTCCATAGTCACAGGAGGACAGAAACCCACACTGCAGCAGAGGCCCCTGCTTTTTCACACCCAGCAGGAGAACCCGGTGTGGAACCGGAGTGTGAGCCCGAAGCCCAGCAGACGTGGACTGGGGGCTCCAGCTGTGTGACCCTGGATGCGTGAATGCACTGTCCTGAGCCTCAGTCTAATACCCTGGAAGATGGGGGGTACTGACACCGGCCTCACAGAGGCTGGGGCGAGGGCCCCATGAAATGAATGGGTACAAAACCCTCAGCTCAGGGCCCGGCCCCCAACCCTCAATGAACCGGCAGGCCTCAGTCTACCATTACGGTTGGGGCCTGGGCCTGCTGGGAACCCCCGAGCCCCCAGAAGAAACAAAGTGTCCCGAGTCTGCCCTGGCCTCTTTAGCCCATATTTGCGCTTTGCAGAAGAAGCCAATGGCAGTGTGTTCTCTCCCTGGCTGTAACCCACCCCCCCCGCCCCCAGCTCCATTTGGAAAGTTCTGGAAG